CCTTCCTTCCTTCCTTCCTTCCTTCCTTCCTTCCTTCCTTCCTTCCTCCCACACTGGCATAATGGTATAGTGGAAAAACCATAAGGTTTAGAGTCTGAGAACCTGGATTCAAATCCCACTTACTGACTCTGTGATCTTGGGTAAGTTTTTTTGAGACTCCATTTCCTCATCTATAAAAAGGGGGAGCTGGGCTTAATGATCTCTAGGGTTTCTCCTAGCTTTAGAATTCTGAACTCAGGAGACTTTTTAGCATTAGCTATGTAAGTTCACAGCACAGTGAGGAGGTTCTCAGTTTCCTCAAATGTAAAATGAGAGGGTTGGGCTAAATGATCCCAAAGATCCCTTCCAGCTCTAGATCCAGGTATCCTATGGTACCCTAAAGTGGCCAGTATCAGAAAAGGGTCAGTCATGTAGTCAGTCAACAAGCACAGAAGCATGTGATGTGAGCCAGGCATTGAGGAAAGGAAAGCAAAAATACACACTCCTGGCTCCCAAAGAATCCACATTCTAAGTTGGAGAAACAACATGAAAACAATTATAAAGTCTAATTCCCTATGAGGCAGGGGTACCCCAGGATAATCAATTTTAAGAAGCAGTAGCATGAGGCCAAGAAGTTTTGCTAACTGTTTGAAACTAAGGTCTATAGAGAAACACTGGGAACTCACCCATTTGAGCTCACCAATTCTGAAGATGACAATGTAGTAGGGATGCAATGGCAGTGGGAGACCTCCCCTCTAGAACTAGGCTTTGCCTTGATCATACAGTATTTTACATAGAATTTGAACAGCTTTGGTTCAGAGAAGACTCACCGGAAACATAAGGCCTTGCTTAGAACCATCTTGAGTTCCTCAGTTTGGAGGATCTTCTGCCTTCTAGAAAAAAAAAAAGCCCTAATGAGGGGTAGGATCTAAGTTGTCATGAAAAGGAAGAGGAGGCAGGTCCCTGAAGTTAAACATAAGACCCCACCAGGAACCTGACCCCAAGTCCCCTTTCCCACCTTGTCCCTTCCTCCCTGTAAGAAGGAAAAGGAAAACATGTTCCCAGCCCAAGGAAAGGTGGAGAGGAGCCACTTGGAACAGTTCCCAAAGCCACCTTGGAAGCAGCAAGGCATTAGAAAGTAGAACTGTGAAACACCAGAGTCTGTCCTGACAGTACCTTTTCTGCCTTCTGCCCTGAGTCAATGCTCTATCAGCTCCCAAAGAGATCAGCTCATGCTATATAAGAAACAAAGGGAGGAGGAAAACCACTGACCCAACCCTTTCCATGTAAAGGGAAGTCCCAGGTTGGAACATGTCACTACAGCACCATGAGCATTCCTAGTAATTTAAGGACTTTCCAATTTCTCCAGAATACCTAATGAGTCAGTGTTAGTGGTAGATTAGAAAAGCATTGCTTATGGAGAACATCTTAGGACAGAGAGGCTAGTGGCATGGGAGAAAGAACTTGGAACTAGAATCAGAAGGTGGGGGTTTGAATTTTGGTGCTGCTTTTTATCACTTGTTTGGGACTCAGTTTCCTGAGCTATAAAATGAAGAAATTGAACTAGATAACCTTGGAGGTCACTTCCAGGTCTAGATCTCTGATCCTGTGACCAAGGAGATCCATTCCTTTGACCAGACTCCAGAGATATAACCTTTGTTCTTTCAACCTAAATGTCTCAGTGTAGCTTAAGGAAACAACCCCTGTTTGGGATCTGTCCAGGGTGCTTTCCTTCCCAGTTGCTTTGGAATCTCAACCTCCTCAGGCAAGTGCCCTTATAGCCTTTGGGAGCTGGGGAAGGGGCAGGAAGTGGACCCGATCTCTCTCTGTCCTCTCAGCTTTTTGGGGCCACTAGAATGTATTTTATCCTGCACTTTAACCCACACCCTCCTTGATAATGTATAGTTTAAGTGGTTTTGTTGGAGTGGATCCTCACTCC